AGAGAGAGAGAGAGAGAGAGAGAGAGATTTCTTGGGTAATTACTTGACGATATCATAGGTAAGACGGGATTCGAGACGTGATATTCGGACGCGTACTTGTACTCTGCTTTTTCCTATCCATTGGCAATAAATTTCTTGTAGCACTGGATGTGATTTGTGGAACACTTGTTCTTGTCATCTCGGATGCGTGGATTTCAATTCTTGGGAACATGTTGATCTCGAATTGACTTCCCAGTTGCGAAGAATGTTAAGAGACGGGATTTGACAGTATGCTTTTGTGTGATTCAAAGCAAGGAGTAAAACGTGATGGAAGCCGATAAAGAAACGCCTCCAGAGGCTAGCTTTCGTGTCTCCTCTTCTTGAGCAGAATTCTTGTTCTTCGCACGGGTAAACTCGAGGTGGCTTTCTTCTGCAGAACAGCGCACTGCGTGGTCTGCAAGATTCGATGGGAGAGGAGGGGAACTTTGAAGAGAGGTTGGAAGTCTCGAAGGAGCAACGCAGAATTAAAGTGGAAATTTTGTGGAGCAAATCTGCATTGACCGATGCCGAAACTTCCATGTCTCTTCCGAGATCGCATTCGGTAAAGGAAAGAAGAGAACAGAAGGAGAAATCTCGAGGACAAACGTCGATGGAGGAATGTCGATGTCCAAGCTCTGTTCCGCCATCATAAAAGGGGTCGTCCAAGCTGGACTCTTTCCGGGAACCTACTGCGACGGCTGGCGTTTTGGATGGCTCCTGCGCTGTCTCGAGAAGGAAGAAGAGGGAACATCCTTTGACAGAGGCGGCGTGCCACCAACGACGACACCACCGCACAAGCACAAGTGGCTCGGAATGCGGGTCGTAGCAGCCAACATCGGTCACCACAAAGGGATGGCCTGACGCGAAGCTTCTGTCGTTGAAGTCTGTAAAAAGTGTGGAATGTCACAGGAGTTTTGGGGGAATATGATCTTTGGCATGGAAAAAGGGCTTCTGTCTTCGACTGGAATGGTGATTATTGTTCCAAGGATGTTTACTTTTTTCTCTGAGCAATTCCAAGCTTTTCTTGTCATCACTGAGTAGGAGGAGGAGGAGTTGGCAACAGGGTAACTCCAGGAACCTTCTGCATCAGACTGGCCAACTTCCTCTGCCTCTTCTTTTACGTGGTAGCTCAAGTCTTCGTACCTGACGCAATTACCTCCTCCTTCCAACGTGACTAATAATATAGCACATGGATAATGAATGCTGCACTACAATTCATAAGGTGAAATGATAATAAGACAAACCATTTTAATTTGAATACTTTTCTAAATAGGGATGTGAAGAGATCAGGGAGTATCAATATTCTTCGAATTTTTAATTATTTTTTAAAAAGTATTATTATTAAAAAAATAATTAATAATATTAAAATTTATTTAAAAATAATAATAATAAATAAATAAATAAAATTATTAACTATTCATCCCTATTAATTGAATGTGTTAGCTTAGTTTAGACTTCGACGATATATCCCTAAGGTCGATTCAATCAAGGCTCAACCTAATCTAACTCGAATTAAGTGGACAAGTGACTTGTTGATATGGATAGTAATTATGATAAGACCCAGCTGACGTCAGATGGCACCTCACGCCTCGGATGACACGATGGCACCCGGTCAAACGGACCGGAAAACTGGCCGAGGCACATTAACACCTACTCAAGCTCGGCTCTTCACGCCGCGCCAAACCAATGTCAGACGCAACCAACCTGCCCCCTGCAAGCGGGCACATCAGGAAATAGTAAGCCCCCCTATAAATACCCTCGCACTCTGAACGAGGGGGGGGGGACGGTCGCACATACAAACACTTCTTCTTCTGAAACCCCCTCCACATCTTCTAACTTGAACGTCGGAGGGGTCGGGTCGAGCCTCCCGACCCGACCTTTGTGCAGGTGCAAAGCCGAGGGTCCCCGCCGGCCGCGCGGACGATGAGCCCCCGCACGGAGGAGATGGCGACCCCGTCCAGATCGGACCATCGCACCGGACCGACCCTACGGGCTCGAGGCACACCCCGGAGAGATCCCCGACGTCCGAACCCTAACCGAGCCGCGTCGGCCCCGAGGCCACGACTCTCAAAGTTGCTTACCGCAACAAATTGGTGCTAGAGGGAGGGCCTGGAATGTCGGGTGATCACCCGAGCGGCTCAGATGAGCCCACGACTGAGAGGTCACACCCGACCGAAGCCTCGGGGGAACACCCCCCGCACGGAGACCATCGTGACGAACTCCCCGCCACGACCTCCAAACGATACTGGCGAGTATTCAACGACCCGGGCTTGTCGCCGCCCGACGGTGCCCCAGCCGACTCAACGCCCGTGTCGCCCGAGGCCTTTCAAGACCTCGCCCGTCAAGTCCGAGCTCTAACGGAAATGGTGCAAATCATTATCCCGCTCGTTTCGAATCCGGCGCACCCGCCCGCGATCGAACCACCACGCAAGGCGCCCGTTCGGGCCCACATGACACTACCGGAGCCCCCCACTTCGCCTCGGGTCCGACCGGCCCCACTCGGGAATCTAGTGATGATAAATCCGAGCGGTCGCCCAGACCCCGAGATACTCTCTTCGGACTCCCTGCGGGCCCAATTGCGCTTCGTCAGCCAGCGACTCGACGAGGTGCAGGAAGAGGTTCGTAGGTCCAAGGGAGAGCTCGGGGAGGATACACACCGAGGGTCTCCCTTCTCACCTGAGATACGGGATCTGACAGTCCCCCCGGACTTCCAGCTCCCCTCTCTGGACACATACCATGGCTCCACTGACCCAACGGACCATGTAGCTGCTTTTCGCGCCCAAATGACGCTATATGGAACCTCTGATGCCCTGATGTGCAGAGCGTTTCCTACCACTCTAAGAGGGTCGGCCCACGCGTGGTATGGTGGCTTGAAGACCGGAACGATCGCTTCCTTCGGCCAGCTTGCCAATGACTTCGAGCTCCATTTCGTAGCCTGTGCAAGGCCAAAGCCCTCCGCGGCACTGCTCCTCGGACTCAAACAAAGGGAGGATGAGCCCCTCTCACATTTTGTGGATCGCTTTGCCACGCAAATCCGGGGCTTGCCGGACACTCACCCCTCTCTGTTAGTGCAGGCGTTTGTGATAGGCCTGCGACCTCCCACTACGGTGCTAGAGATGCTCCAGCGGGCTAACCGATACATCGCAGCCGAGGCCTGGGCGGCCGTGAGAAGAAGGGAC